TGACGTCATTCATACATTCCAACAGTTACGACAGTATCCAGTTACGTCACCACATCATAGAAATGACTTAAATAAATAAATCAGAAGCAGGTTTCAAGTAGAAATATGCTTAACCAACCCGCTTACCTTGCCCAGCTTCTGGCCCGTAGCTCAAGTTTACCTTATTCATACATACTATTATTATTATTAGCACTATTATTATAACACCTGCTAACGTTTTTAAGAAAGTTATTCAGCATCTATCCTCATCTACTGGTTCAAACCAGTTCATGCTATTTTACATATTACGTGATTTCTAACTACATTATCATCTGTCTCACCCCATGTTTACCATATTTATTCTGGTCATTTATCTCCCAACTTCGTTTAACATATAAAACTGTTCAAGATAACCGATCATATTAGTCGCCCAACATTATTTATTTTATTTTGCATTGCAAAAAATCGAAAACTCACATGCCAATTCAGAGTGATTTACCCTGTCCTAAATTTGACCAGTAAGTTTTGATTATTAATCCTGAAATATGACTGTAGAACGTGAAGGGAAATTATTCAAATATCTACATTTCGGGATTACTGATGGTAGTGTTGTAGAGGTAGATAAATCCCAAAAATAAATCGTTCTGTAAGTCTTCGACATTTGATGCTGGCCGCATTAGTTTTACTGGACACACCTAACTGGAGTTTCTCGATCATGCATCCGCATCACATCATGTGTGGTTACGCCATGCTACGCATCTTTTTCAACTACCAGCCAGTTTAGACCAAACATTCTTCGACATACCGATAGCCTTCCAAATATATCTGCAGACCATTTCATTTCCGATTAAAAATATGCAACGTGTAAAAGCGTTGTAAAACTCCGAGAACATGTGGCAGTTTAGATTCAGATTTCAGATTTGTGTAATAAGGACAGAAGGCCTACGGCCTATGTTATTCCTTTTCTAGTATGCTTCTGTGAGTGTCCAGTCTTCTCTTGAAAGAGTCAATTGAAGGTGCGGATACCACTGCTTCAGACAGCAGGTTCCAAGTATTGATGATTCGGTGTGAAAACCTGTATGCCAGAGGTATTTTGTTCGTTCTTGGCTTTTCTACTCGCCTACTATGTCCTCTGAGGTGTCCCGATCTAGTGGGAAGAAAGAGAGAGAATAAGTTAGGTCCGAAATCATTTCTCAGTATTCTGTACATCAATATTAGATCTCCCCTTAGTCTGCGATAGGACAGAGTAAAGAGGTCAAGTTTTTCAAGCCGCTCTTCATATGATAAACCCCGGAGTTCCGGAATCGCACGCGTAGCTGCCCTCTGTACCTTTTCTAGTATGTCTGAGTCACCTTTTAAACAGGGGCTTGCAGCCTGAACACAGTTCTCTAACTTAGTTCTCACTAAGGATGTGTATAATGTGGTGAACATGGTAGTATCAAGCTTAGTGAATGTCCTTTTTAAAGCCCAGAGGGTTCGAAACCCCTTAACTGCGACCTCCCGGCAATGGGCCGTCGTCTTAAGATCATTGCTCACGGTCACCCCTAGGTCCTTATGAGACCGGACTACGGGTAATGACACATCTCCTATGTTGTACGTATTAACCTTTGAATCTCCCAAGTGCATGTAGACACACTTTTCCGAGTTGATAGGCATTAGCCACTCTTTAGACCAGTTTATCATATTACTTAAGTCCGCCTGAAGAGTAAATGCGTCTTTGTCTCCAGTTATTACTCGCCAAATTTTTACATCGTCAGCGTATAATAACATTGGAGACTGTACTATACTTGTAAGATCATTAACGTACATTATAAAAAGTAAAGGACCTAGGACGGAACCTTGGGGTACTCCACTAAGTACTGGTCTCCAGATGGAGCACTTGGAATTTATTCTTACTTTTTGCCTACGACCTACTAGGAAATCCTTAATCCATTTTAAAAGAGGTCCGGCAATACCAAGGTTTGCCAACTTCAATAGCAGTCTATTAGTTGGCACCTTGTCAAAAGCCTTACTGAAGTCTATGTAGACAACATCCACTGAGTTTCCGTTGTCTAGCGCATTAATCCAGAGCTCCCTAGCTATAAGGAGGTTCGTTGTACAGGATAGACCCTTTCTAAAACCATGTTGTGCCATGTTTACCCATATTTTTAAATAAGTTGACACTATTTATGCAGTTTTTATAGGTCTCTTTAATTATTTGTACTCCTAAAACTTAGCTGTTCTCAGTTTAGCCCGGAACTTTTCAGAACTTTTTCGTGTGACGAATATTGAGAATTGAACGCGGTTAATTTGAAACGTGCGGTTTTGTGGCTCTGTAGTATTGTTTCGACCTAATGAGTGAGGTGCGAAGGAGGAAGCCGGAGACCTTAAGAGATAGCAATTCGTCGGCTCAACAGTGTTTAAAATATGCACATGGCAAACACCCGGAAGTCCCTATTTCAGATAAATGCACTGACCGTCCATACAGCCTGTTTTGGTTGTTCCCTGTGACAGCTGTTTTCCTAGCTTGCTTCATTATTTGCGACGATAGCAGTGATTGTTGGCCTTGTTCTGACTCTTCATGCAGTTCTTTTAACGTGGTATCTGCTAGATCACACCTTATCAAGGTCACCAACTTCGGTCCCCGAACTGCCGGGTCCTTGGCTAATGAAGTTGCTGCTGCTGGCTATCTTCGGAATGAATTAAGGTTAATTGCATCTGTTTCTAACAAAACGGGGTTGGTCGTTTCTCTAGACGAACATAAGTCTGGTTACTCGAGTTTCCGGGCGTTTTCTCATGTTTCTTCATACAATAATGTTCGGAACTTTGCTCTTCGTTTTCATGATCTGCGTGCCGAAGGTGGTAACCATAGCAAACTAGCATTTCTCATTAACTGTCATTACGATACAGCCCCTGGGAGTCCTGGTGCTAGTGATGCGTTTGTTAATTGCGCTGTCATGTTAGAAGTTTGTCGTATATTGGCGACGGGTTCGTTTATTCTTTTTAATGACCTTATATTTCTTTTCAATGGGGCTGAGGAAAGCCTGTTGCTTAGCAGTCATGCTTTTATAACTCAACACAAGTGGGCCACTGATATCGTCGCTTTTATGAATTTAGAAGGGGCAGGTGCTGCTAAACGTTTAATGCTTTTTCAAACTGGTCCTGGTCCGTCATCAGATGTCTTACTTGAAGCTTATGCAAGTGCTTTCAAACAACCATTTGCCAGTGTTTTAGGAGAAGATGTGTTCCAGTTCGGACTAGTGCCGTCGGACACAGATTACAGAATATTTCGTGACTATGGGCTTGTCCCAGGGTTAGATCTTGCGTATATACAAGACGGGTACGTTTACCACACTCCTTATGATACAGAGTCTCGTATTTCGGATCGTTGTCTTCAACTGTCTGGGTACAATATATTGAGTTTTGTCCAGTTGATTGCCAAAGATGAAAGAATACAAGGTTTCACCAAACTGACTCCGATAAATCATACGTCAGAAACATTGACGCGTGTTTCAGGCTCAGGTTCACCGTCGGATATAAACAGTGTCCCTCCACTGGTCACTAGATCGGCAACTCTTCGACACGTTTATTTTGATCTGTATGGCGTCTTTGTGATAATTGTTCCATGGGGGGTCTGGAAAACTGTCAACCATCTATTGTGTTTATTTCTGTGCTTCCTGATATTTAGAGCTAGACGACTTGTCTACGTCCGGTGGTATGGATTCGTTGCTGCTTTGTTGGTGCAAGTAGTTACCACATTACTAGGCTTCGCCTTTTCAGTCGTACTTGGACTTATGTATCACCATTACGGTTGCAGAATGGTTTGGTATTCAAATCACTATAATATTGTGGGTATGTTTATTCTACCAGTAGTCTGGTGGTTTGTATGGTCGCAGGCTTACTTACTCAAAATACCCGAAGGTTCTGTATTTAAGTTTCTTGGGATTTCTAATTACTTTTCAAGGATATGGCAGCATAATACTTTAGATTACTTCTATTCTTTAGAAACCGACTTTTTTGATTCTAGTGTATTTTTAATAGCACTTCAGTCATTTTTGTTGTCTTTAATTAATGCTCCTTCATCATACGTTTATACATTCTGGGTTGCGTTTGGGCTTATATTTAAGATGTCTGATATTCGAAATGCTTCACCAATCAAACTAAAATTTTGTCAGACCGTCCGTTTTGTTTCATTCTTAGCCGTTACTTCAATGCATACATATAACCTTAATTTATTTCTTAACTTTATGATACCGATTATGGGACGTTCGGGTCATGCTATCAAACCAGATTTATTCCTTTCTTGTTGTATATTTATCATCATGCTACCTGTGATGCTTCCATCCCTAGGACGGCTACAATGCACCTCGAGAACTGGAAGTAAATATCTTTTCTTGATGTTGCTAAATGCTTGCTTGTCGTATGCAGTCCTCATTCATGCATCAAATTATGGATTCCCGTATAGTATCCAGCCATCTCCAAATTTTTCAAACCCTCTTGTCAGTCCAAGGTATCAACGACTGGTTGTTTTTCATACCAACAGATTTCTTCGGCATATTCCGGATTCTCCTGAGATCACAGAGAGAGAAAGTCATATCCTAATTGTCCCCATTGATGCGAATGGTATTCGATATCTGACACCTAATTCTTACCCTATGTCCGTACTTAGGTTATTTATGAATTCAAAAGAGCATACTCAATCAAACTTCAATGGTATCAAAGAACTTGTTGAAGCAGAACCCACGGGATGCAATTACAGTCAACCTTATTGTGGTATAGCCTCTATTTATCCTTTTCTTCATATCTTCAGATATTTTTATCGTGTTCCTGCTGAATTTCACAATATAGAACCAACTGTGAAGCTAAAGTTACTGTCACGCACATTGTTAATGGATTACTTACCAAATAGTCGCTTGAGTTGGAACGTTACATTTTCCGTAGTTTCCGGTCCTCCTCATACTCATATATTAATTCGTACAGATGGGAACTATACCAAGTTAACTGCATGGTCGTTTGCATCAACTGCAATGTATCCTTCATCTATGCCACTCCCTCGTCCATCAATTAGCGATATTTCAAGCAACAAAGGTGAACATTATTTTCTATACCATTTGAATGCAGCAGCATTTGGTGAACATGGGACCTTATGGGAAACACCGTGGACATTTTGGGTTGTTTTCGAAGCCCAAGAAGTACTACCACAATCAAGTTATATTGATGTAGCTGTTGCTGGCCTGTATGCTGATGAAGATATCTCTACTCGCTCTCCTCCACTCTCAGAATTTTTGTCAAGCTTACCACCTTGGGTTACTGTCATTCGGGGTTGTGCTGTTTATGATCATTGGCGTTTTCAGCTGAACTAGTATGAGTTGGGTAAAAATCTAACTATTTTATTTACTGTGATTTACGTTATGTACAAACTCCAGATGTACCACATGGTACGAAATGATTATTTCTACTTTTTAAACAGTTTGAACTACCTAACTTATTTCTGTACTTCTTTAGTTCACAAATATACTAGTTAAAACCTTACTGAACTTTTCACTTCTCCTTTAGAGGGAAAATTTGTTAACCACTTTATTTTCCTTTAGGTTTCAAGATGCCTCACACAATTTTACTTGTACAGCCTTCTGTAAAAAAACCAGATACTCGCACATGGTCTGATTATGAAACTGTAGAACAATGTTTGGAGGGTGTATGCAAGATATATGAAGAGCAGCTAAAACGTGAAAAACCTAATGCTCCTACCATCACTTATGATATATCCCAACTTTTCCAGTTCATCGACCAGCTGGCTGACTTAAGTTGTTTAGTTTTTCATGAACCTACATACACATATGTTCCACATCATAAAAACTGGATCAAAGAACAAGTTTATGTACTCCTAAGAAACCAAGCTGGCCAGTAATTAACAATTAATGGACGTCTGTGCAACAATTTTTGCTTGCATTGTAACATCTAACTGAAATACATGTTTTAGCTGCCCATTTTTGTTTTTTTCTGGGGCTTGTGATTGTTAGTGGTAAAATTAACTATTCATTCTAATTTTTAGTACGACTTATTTAGAATACTGATTCATTTTACTGTTAGGAGTTAGTGTTAGGCTCCACTACATTCTGCGTGCTTGAATTGAACCATAAACCGTAAACGTAGCTTGACTGTTTAGTTGTTAGCATTCTGTTCTGATTGAAATTGTCTGGAAATTTTCTAAGATACTGACACTGTTTATTTGAGAATTTGACGTATCAAATTCTTACAACTGTCGCATTTTCTCGGTTTCAGCTTACTAGTTGTCGTTTGCTTTGTTCGTTTTTTTCTTCACTGCTCAAGTTGTTGCAGTATATCTGCTGATCTCTGTCCATAACTTGACGAAAGTTTTCAAATCTAAGTTAGATTGCGTGGCTCGAAATCGTTTGTGTTGGTACGGATGCACACACTCTTTATCTTGCCTCAGATTCTAAGCTTCTGAATTCTTCGTAATTTTCTTTGTTTCAATAATCTACAATTTCTTGAATCTTATTTTCGATGCCTAAACTTTTGTATTGTCATTTAGACTGACTGTTTTTAGTCTTCTAGCGTATCATCTGAATGCCTAAAACAGTTAAAATCAAAACAGGAGACTATAGTTTCTAAGGAATGACATCGATTTTGTTGTATAAAGTAAATTCTCATCAACAATAACGAAAGGATATCTGCTTGGTTTCTTTCAAACGACACCACTTGTTTGCCAGACAAGATCGAGGATACTGCGCAGAAGTTTTTTTATATATTGCTTTGCGATTACATAGTACGCCCTTTGTAAGAATGTTTGTAAACTGCTCTTTTATCCTACTGGTCTGGAAAAGATTGCCTAGGCACAAAACCACCGAATAAGCAGTGTTAGGCATATGAACAGTTAAGGGTAGTGAACCTCTTGTTTAGACTGCTAGCCACGATTTACTGCTCATTCCCAGACATCTGTTACCTCAGCGCGCTATTTTCGCTATTATAATAGTGTTTTGAAGATAGACTGGGAGTGGCTAGCCCAAGTTATGATATTAATGTATGTAGTCAGTGGCTGTTAATTTTGGTTCTTTATACTGGCATAGATGTTGTCGGTACCTATGATTAAACCATAAAATATACTTTGAGACTGATGTAGTTTATGATTGTTCACATTGTTGCATTCATTCGTCATGTCCTAAAGTCTTGAATATGGTATTGTTCCACATGTTATGCGTCCCAACTTCGGTGTAAAAATTATTTCTTACTTTTGGCCGATTAAAATAGTACAGGATATGAATCTCTATTTTATCATCCCAAGTTGATACACTTTAAAACTAACGGAAGCAAACAATTACTGGAAGAAATAATAATAAATTAAATAATAAAAATAAGTGGTATTGAAAAATAGGCTTAGAGTGATATGATCTTCCTTATGTGATGGATTTCTAGTGTGTCTTAACTGTTTGTTTAGTGAATTCAGAACAATTTTGTTGCAATCAGCTCATTGAACTCCGACGTTAATCACTAAATCTATAGTTCATTCATTCAGTTTAATTTTTGTGGATTCGCGACGAGTTTGTCTGAATTAAGATGTTAGACATTCGAAATTTGTTATATGAAGGTACTTAAAAGCCAGTGGTGTCCGTCAAGGCTGTCCACTTTCTCCATTTTTGTTTAACTTCATCATAGACCTATTGATGGAAATAACACTCTCGTCGACTGAATTCTCGGGTATTGATCTCCTTCCAGGAGGTCCACTTATCGACTTAGAATACGCAGATGACATAGTCCTGTTTGGTGAAGACGCTGACAAAATGCAGAGTCTTTTGGTAGCACTAAGCAACAATGCCAGAATGTTTGGAATGCGCTTCTCTCCCTCTAAATGCAAGTTGTTGCTTCAGGACTGGTGTGCGTCAACACCTGAACTAAGGATAGGGAGTGAAGTAGTCGAACGCGTCGACAACTTCACTTATCTTGGAAGTCTGATCAGCCCTAATGGGTTGGTGTCTGACGAAATCTCAGCACGGATTCGAAAAGCTCGTTTGGCTTTTGCCAACTTACGTCACCTTTGGCGGAGGCGAGATATCCGTCTATCAATAAAACGACGAGTATACTGCGCGGCAGTCCGTTCTGTCTTACTTTACGGCAGCGAAACATGGCCTTTAAGAGTAGAAGACACCCGTAAGCTACAAGTATTTGACCACAGATGCCTTAGAAATATTGCTGGCATCTGCTGGGATCACCGGGTAAGTAATAGTGAGGTTAGACGCAGGGTATTAGGGAATGATGGTAAATCAGTTGATGAGGTTATGAATCTTCATCGACTGAGATGGTTGGGCCACGTATTACGTATGCCTGAACACCGATTACCACGACGTGCAATGCTAACCGGTGTAGGGGTTGGTTGGAAGAAAGTTAGGGGCGGCCAAACCAAAACGTGGCATCAGTGCTTGAAGTCACTAACTTCTAGTCTGAGCCATGTTGGTAGATGCAGACTACTTGGTTGGGGTCCGCGTGACTATCGTAACCAATGGTTGGAGACTCTTGGTGACATGGCTCAGAATCGATCACAATGGCGTCGGTGTATACACTCCCTGTCTTCCCTTAAACTAAGAGATTAAATCACTTCATATCTTTCTTTCTACGAACTAATTCTTCCTTTCTATACTATATCCTTATTGCAACCTTTGACCTAACCACTCCTATGAATCCGGTGTTCATCTTGTTGTGCTAATGAGGTATGGCAACCTGGACCGATGCACATATGTGCCTGGTCCTACGTTGTAGCTGACTGACTGACTGACTGAGATACTTGTTCTACCTGTTTCAGTTGGTATGAGACTAAAAGTTTTTTTTGCACGTCCTCATTTCCCAGTTGGAATACATCTAGGATATGGAGATCTCGTTCAGCCGTCCCATAATATGCAGTCGTTCGTGTTGACCACTCGATACCCTTTTATATTTATATATATGGCCAAATGCCCTGGTACGGCCGAGAGTGGGGAGAGTCCGCTCTCTCACATGGTCACGCGTATATAGCCTCTGCCGGGGAAGTCCTACTCATTGCCTTCTCGCATCACGGGTGTTGCTTACGAAATTGGGAGGACGAAAAGCGAACGTCCGGTGCTTTAACCGGGTTGGTGGATACGGAGAGTCCACCTAGGGGATTTGGAAAACCCTGATTCCAAACCAGTGGTGCACATGGGCTCTAGTATCCTAAGGGAGCAAATGGCGTATGAACCAATTGTTGGTCACCGGTTACCATGGGACTGCATCTCCTTACGTTGCTCCACTGCCTTGTGGATCAGACCTTCAGGTCGAAGGCTCCGGGTGTGGCCTCCTAAGAAAACCACCTGCTTCACTTTGGGCACCCGGGCAGTATCACAGCCCTCACACATATCAAATGAGATCTGTGTGGCGCATATGTATTTGGTGCCTCCTTGTACTAATATCTATGTGTTAAAATATATAAATAAATTGGCCAAAACCCATTACCATGTACGATATCATAACAGCATATATATTTCTGCTCCATGAGAACTCGATCGAGCCCTTTATATTCTCCATATGATTTTGTTGGTAACCAGCTTATCATGGGTTTAAGTAACCGAAGATTTTATGCAAAATCGCGTTTGGTCCGTGTGATAGTCGCTCTTAGTAGGGTTAGATGGTAATGTCACATACACTTGAATATCATTTTGTAGATGGCTTTTTCAAATTCGCAAAGGTTCTTGAATTCCTAAATTATATTTTAAACTGAGTGTTGCTTTCATATAACGATGTGGAGGTTGTTTTGGAGAACAATTGATTTCCATAAGGTAAATGTACAAATCCTAACTAAGCGTTCAACAGTTGTGTATGGTGTTCTCTTCATATTCAACTTCTCGAAAAAATGAATTACTTTACTAAATCATCTTTTTTACCAGGTACCATAGCTAAATTGAATTATCACTCGGATGTTCAATGAATTTGTCCAACAGTCGTCTGAATCCGATGGTGATTGGGAGGTTCGTGATCCGTTTAAAAGTATGTCACTAAAATACGTTAATATCTTTATAGTCACAAACTCTTTACATTGATTTATTTTAGACCTAAAAGAGCATGAAATATACATAAAAAGAGAGTACTTACTATGGGTTTCTATCGTCTAAATAATTACCTTAAATAATTAAGATCCATTATAGTTAAATGTCTCAGCAGTTCGTATTATGGGTCTCATGTTAAATCTAACCAAATAATCATACTTAAAATGTACCGAAGCAGCCAGAGTTAGCATTTAAAGACGACTTCATATATCGGTGAACAGTTTCCGGTAAGCCTAAACACACTATGTTGAACTTCAATACTATTTTCATAGTGTTCCCATTGGGCCAGGAACGACAGACGCGAACATTAAGCAATTTTAGCTAGGGTAAACCAGATTATACCAGATGAGTTCAAAGCAGGTCACCTCATAATGTTGTAGGCTAAATCTTTCACTACAAGACTGAAGTTTGGTTTCACTTCTGTCTCTTTAGTTTTGGTTATGCAGTGATTAGTCTGTTTTTATTTATTTGAACACATAAATATTGGTACAAGGGGGCACCATATATCTATGCACCACACGAGAGATTAATCTTATCGGTAACATAAATGCTCATTAAATTTTTGATTATTTCAAACGCTTCATAACTTGGCCATCATCACTTGAGAATTTCGTAAAGTGTACTTCACAGTTTGATGATATTAACCTTTAATTTATTGGCCAAAATAACTACTTTAAAATGGAAACTAGGGCAAAACGGTTATCTGAGTTAGCTGACAGAACAGCATCTTCTACGCCCCCCTTTATTTTACTGAAGTAAAGTCTATTTCTTATAATCTGACGAATTATGATTGTTCGTCATACCCATGTTAGTGGCCTGCTACATCAAATTTTAATGGGGGATTTTCACTGAATATTGCTACTCACATATGGTGTATTCAGTTTACTAGGTTCCCGTGAACTAGGATTGGAAAAGATCTATAAATACTTTTATAAATTCGAACTTAACTTGCTCCTGATAAGGTGTCTGAAATGTCAACCAAACTTAGGTCTTTGTTTTTGAAGATCTGATGACGACAAGACAAGCTCACTAGATATAATTGCAACTAACCGTTACATAGTTGTTAGAACTCTCCGCCACTGATGAGAGCTCCTAATAGTTGCTATTAATCAGTTACTTGAAAAGTGAACTAATAAAATCCACATAAAAGTTGGTGAAATGAAACAACTGGAGTCCTATTTAGGTGCTCAGTTCATAATTTTAAGTTTAACAGTTAAGATATAATTATCTACACAGAAAATTAGTCGACTAATATCAAGATAGGACATATTTGTTAATGGTTATCAAAGGACATACATCTTCAAATAACGTGATAACATGAATTATATGTATGAACAGAGTTATTCTCAACCGTTCATATCTTTGTAGTATTTTCTACTGCAGTTCAAAGTAAACCGTATTCACCTGTACTTCTACCTATTTTCAAATGTAGACTTCAAATTTACTCGATATTTGAAGGAAGAGGTTGTTCAGTCGATAAGAAAAAAGCAATATGAAGATGGTACGAGCAAATGTGGTCCATTTACCAATCGTGCGTATACATTTGTCACAATTCCTCGATATCTAGAATCGGTAGTTTACCTAAGATTGATAATTTTTCACTGATTCCCAGTTTTATAATTAAGCTTTATTATTGTATGGGATATAATCGTTAACACCGCTGTTGTTTCTACTCCTTTCATTTTATTGGTTTCCTCCCTCTATGTTGATATAAAGTATGACCACATGAGCCAGTACGCGTTTGTTTCAGGCCTTCCATTTTTTTACGACCGACCATAGAAAACATTGTGTATAACCTCAATGGTTAGAAAAACGACCTTAAGCACGTGTAAGTATGTGTACTTTTCACTTTTCAAGTTTGTAAATATGGGGATCATGGATGTTAAATACTAATACAGTATTCTGCAAAATGTATTCGTTGGAGATACAGGAAACAGAAATATTCAATAAACCTGAGATTGCTTTTCCAATTATCAAAGCTATAAGCCATCAAAAACACAGCAGAACGCGACACAATTTTGTACCGGTTTATATCGCTACATTTTAACAAGAAACTAGTCATATGATGGGAAATAATACAAAATTAAATTGACTTAGTATAAGCTACCTCTTTAGAGAATAACTAATTTCTTTTTGGTAACACAAGTTAACTTTAAAAATTTCTCAACGGTTTATTAAAATAACACCACATTTCGACGATTTTTCTTGGCATATTTAATTGTTTACAATTGATTGGTCACAGGATAGCGATCAATGTCATGTGTGTCAGGTCATTCTTAATGTAAATTGAATTCTATGGACCAAGTCGCAATGTAGCTACTAGTCTAGGTGACTCGACATAACGTGCACTATGTTGAGATGAGATGGTGGTTGGATGTAATCGACAGGAAACCCTGAACCTAGGTTCCGTGCTATTCTGTCCAGGGTTTCCTGTCGATTACATCCAACCACCATCTCATCTCAACATAGTGCACGTTATGTCGAGTCACCTAGACTAGTGGCTACATTGCGACTTGGTCCATAGAATCCAATTTACATTAAGAGTGACCTGACACACATGACATTGATCACTATCCAGTGATCAATCACTTGTAAATACATCTCAGTCCCACAGTAGGTCTGTTGCGACCCGGGTCGTCCGGTAGTAACGTTTCTGACTGTAAAGCTAGGTGACACGAGATCAAATCGATCAGATAGCATCAATTCCCTCAAGATTACAGGTGCACCCTGCTGATGAGTGCCAAGTAGCACGAAACCTAGGCCCAAGGTTTCCTGTCAACCACCTCCAATCACCACATACATTTAATTTTATTTTACAAGTTTTAATATATACATGAATAAAGAATATGCAAAATGTAAAATGATAGCATTTTTTCATTAAAAAATTTATTTTTAGTGTAGTAATTTATAAAATACTTGTTTTCCCTTTCTTACCACGACTCGTCTATCAGAAATGCCTCCATAATTGCGTAGTTAACATTATTACTTGTTGACTTCAGAAGTTTGTTTTCTAAGACATCTAAATCAGCAATCATGAACTACCATCATATTTATTTAGTAAATTACCGTTTTGTTCAGAATTAATACCGTATATAATCTATGAATTGTGGCTATACTCGTTACCTTATCCTGATTCTATAATAATAATAATAATAATAATAATAATAATAATAATAATAATAATAATAATAATAATAATAATAATAATAATAATGTTTGTTTTCCTGAATTCTTGCCTATCGTGATGAAGCAACCGAACTATACTGGCTGGAACAACCGTTCCTCAAGGTCCTACCATGCCAGACAGGTCGGTTGAAGGACGATAAGACTAAAAGCAACAAACCCAAGGTCCGAAGGTGAAGTCGTACTGCTGACTGTACGGAGGTGTGATAGCAGTAAGGTGTTTCCTTCAGACAACCAACATGACAGCGATGCTGCCTTCCCACAAGGAGGGGTGGTGTTAGAAAAGGTCGACCCTAAAAATGCACACCTCGCTCTATCCTACGGATATCCGTCTCCGGCGGTGTCTCAACAAGTACTGAGCTAACACAAAAATTACCCATAAAAAGGTCGTGTGTGACCGACCTCAAGCAGTCGTCCGTTGGGCACTGTGGTCACGCTCTCAGGTCACTAAGACCACCTCTAATCCAATTTCCTTTCAGGCACCTCCAGAAGAACCCTTCCACGGTGTGGGCAACCGGGAAGTGATAAACGCCCTTATACATCTAACAGTAATCAAGACCACTGTATTCATGACCAACCTCCGTCTTCACTTCCTATTATTCCTCCTACATCGACTTTCACCTCTAAACTTCCTTTTTCGGCTTCCCCCTCAAGTGTCACCACAGCCAACGATTCTAGTGCGCAAAACACTCTCAGGTCGACTGAAACCTCGCTCCAAACTACACATTGGAGCCTTCAACGTAAACACCCTATGTCAAATCGGTCAACAGGCTTCCTTGGCTAGAACCCTAGAATCTCGTACCCTTGATGTATGCTGTGTCTCTGAAACACGCATACAGGATCCTAGTGTGTTCATTCACTTGACCTCACCTCGGCAAAACGGCGAGCCAACGCGATACACCCTTCGTGTATCTGGTGACCCGACGACCAGCTCTCGTGAACTGGCAGGAGTACGGATAGCACTAAGCATGAGGGCGGAACAAGCACTGTTAGAGGATAGGGACACACGTCGTTGCCTTTTCGTCGTTTCTGCCTACGCTCCCACCGACTGCAGCTCGGATGAAGTGAAAGATGAATTTTACAGAAAGCTATCTGAACTTCTTCAGAAAGCTAAACGTTCAGACATATTACTCGTAGCAGGCGACTTTAATGCCCAGATAGATAGTTTAAACCAAACAGAAAGGCATTTAGGTGGGTGTTTTAGTATTCCGGCACAACGGACAGATAATGGTGATCGTCTGCTGCAACTGTGCTCAGACAGTCGTTTATTTTTAGTAAACACAAATTTTAAGCATAAGGAGAGACATCGTCTAACATGGCGACCCCCTACACCAAACCAACGATGGACTCAAATAGACCATATTGCCATCAGTCATCGTTGTTGAGGGTCGGTACAAGATTGTCGCTCATTCTGGAGTACCTGCTTGGACTCCGACCACGCCCTAATACGGGCACGCATCTGCTTGCGCCTCACTGGACGCAAAAAAGCCACAGTAAAAAGACCCATTAGAACTGAGTTGAGTAGCGAAAAAACCAAAAGTAGGTTCCAGGAACAACTGAGGTCACACTTAGGTAGATGTGAAGACGAGGCTGACCCAGATGTTGCTTGGAAAGCTATACAAACAGCTGTGGAAACAGCAGTGACATCTATCAGTGACTTAAACCACAGATTGTAACCACAAAGAACCAATGAATTTCCTCTAGGTCTATTGCACTGATGGATTCTCGTAAACTCATCCCATCAGGCTCTGAACACGATGAAGAGCGAATACAAATCAGATCTAGGTGGTGGGCAACGAAAGCAAAAGAGATGGAAAAGGCAGCGGCTATAGGGAACACAAGACAGCTCTACAGACTAATAAAATAAACTGGAATTAATAAGTCAAGTGTAAGTCGAACTATTTCGGAAAAAGACGACACTTTGATCTGCTCCCAGTCCAGACGTTTAGAACGATGGGCGGAACACTCCAGAGAACAGTTCAGCTGGCCTTCAGCTACTCTACAACTACCCTCCATTCCCAGACAGTGTGAATGGAACATTGAAGTAGGTCCCCCAACTCCTGCTGAAGTTCAAAAGGCTATAGTTAATCTGAAACGAGGAAGGGCAGATGGATTGGATCCAGAGGTCTTTAAGGATGGTGGTCCAATTTTAGCGATTAGGTTGACTGATATTTTAGCTAAGATCTGGGAGTTAGACGTTATTCCATCTGACTGGTCACAATCACTTATCGTCCCAATATATAAGAGAGGGTTAAAATCATCCTGTGACAACCATAGAGGGATTAGTTTAACTAATATAATATCTAAAATACTAGCCTCGATAATTATCGGACGCCTAACTAAGACTCGTGAACTGCAAACACGAGAGAATCAAGCTGGCTTCAGACCTGGTCGTGGCTGCATCGACCACATATTCACTATTCGTCAGGTTCTAGAAAATAGGCATACTTATCGGCGTCCGACAATGGTGGTCTTTCTTGACTTCAAAGCAGCATTTGACTCGGTAGACCGCGAGATTCTGTGGCAGTGTCTGTCATTGAAAGGCGTACCTCAGAAGTACACAAACCTTGTGAAGGCTCTTTACTCAAACACTACCAGTGGAATCAGAGCTTATGGCGAATTGTCATCTGTTTTTGCAACCTCAAGTGGTGTCCGTCAAGGCTGTCCACTTTCTCCATTTTTGTTTAACTTCATCATAGACCTACTGATGTAAATAACATTTTCGTCTACTGAATTCTCGGGTATTGATCTCCTACCAAGAGGTCCACTTATCAACTTAGAATACACAGATGACATAGTCCTGTTTGGTGAAGACGCTGATAAAATGCAGAGTCTTTTGGTAGCACTAAGCAACAATGCCAGAATGTTTGGAATGCGCTTCTCTCCCTCTAAATGCAAGTTGTTGCTTCAGGACTGGTGTGCGTCAACACATAAACTAAGGATAGGGAGTGAAGTAGTCGAACGCGTTGACAACTTCACTTATCTTGGAAGTCTGATCAGCCCTAATGGGTTGGTATCGGACGAAATCTCAGCACGGATTCAAAAAGCTCATTTGGCTTTTGCCAACTTACGTCACCTATGGCGAAGGCGAGATATCTATCTATCAATAAAAGGACGAGTATAGAGCGCGGCAGTTCGTTCTGTTCTACTTTACGGCTGCGAAACATGGCCTTTAAGAGTAGAAGACACTCGTAAGCTATTAGTATTTGACCACAGATGTCTTAGAAATATTGCTGGCGTCTGTTGGGATCACCGGGTAAGTAATAGTGAGGTTAGACGCAGGGTATTAGGGAATGATGGTAAATCAGTTGATGAGGTTATGAATCTTCATCGACTGAGATGGTTCGGCCACCTGTTACGTATGCCTGAGCACCGACTACCGCGACGTGCAATGCTAACCGGTGTCGGGGATGGTTGGAAGAAAGTTAGGGGCGGCCAAACCAAAACGTGACATCAGTGCTTGAAGTCACTAACTTGTAGTCTGAGCCATGTTGGTAGATGCAGACTACTTGGTTGGGGTCCGCTTGACTGTCGTAACCAATGGTTGGAGACTCTTGGTGACATGGCTCAGAATCGATCACAATGGCGTCGGTGTATACACTGTCTGTCTTCCCTTAAACTAAGAGATTAAAATCGCTTCATATCTTCCATTCTACGAACTAATTCTTTCTTCGTGTAAATGTGGTAGGTAAAATAGGAAAAGTGGAAAACAGGAAGTTATTCTTTAACACGTTAGTTTGTGTATCTTCGGTGGATATTTGTTAGTCAGATGTTTTATATCTTTCTTATGTAGTCTTAATTTTCAGTTCTTTTCATTGTTAATTATTATGATATCGCTTGCCGGTTAAAAATAACTGAACCATAAACAGGCTATTTATTTTTTTGATAGCATAATGCCTTACTTGTATACCTACTTCGAATGATACGTTATGATCTTAGCATACTTCTGTAGCCACGTCATGGAAACGTTTGTAGGTGACGTTTAAGCCATTTGACAGTGGGTAGTTCACCATAATATCACCAACTAACTTATCGTCACTATATCTGAACACATACTCGGACCTTGCAAACACTTGCACTCTATTATTACCGAATTCTGAGGCAAGGATAACCGAACACAAAGAGTCGCCAAACATCCTCAATCTGGTAAAGCATTTAACAGTAATCTGTTAGAGATTCATATAAAAGACCTTTTACAAGCATTTTAACGTAGCAAAGGCTCCAAAGATAGTCCAGATTAACATAAAGATCTCTGCATTTCTTTTTTACATAGAATGATTTCAAGTTGATCAGTTTATTATGTTTTGTTTTTAATAGTATACACCGGTGTTTTTGGTGTAATCATACATCGATTTTTTGTATAATTTTTCACTACATTCATTTAGTTTATGGTTTATGGGATGCTGCAGTGTTTGGATCACTTACTGGTTATTTATACATTTCTTCCATTACGTTGTTTTCTCACTGTATTAAATTTAATGCTAAGAATATCCAGTGGAGTATTTCAATTTTTCACATATTTTAATCAATACCAGTAAGTTTCTTTTATTTGGACCTGAAATACATTTATATTAAAGGTGATTTTCTTATACATCGATAATAGATGTACATTAGTTGAAGTATTTAGTTTTATCACGAGCTTCAAGTTCACGGTTTTTTTAAAAATATATTTTTACACTACATCATCGGAGGTACGATATAAAAGTTTCATGTCGTTTTTTGTATGCATGGATTAATGTTCTAGAGACCACTATTAATCAACGTAAATCGTAGCGCTAGTGTATATCAGTTCAAATTTCACACCTCACACCAGCTGAGAGAGAGAAAATTAATGAAATGTTCTGGCAAAAAACAAGTTTGCGTTTGTTTTGCCCGATCAACAGAACCGTGTAGTTATCCTATTTCACTGTTTAGAACAATAAAACTTCATTTCTCGATATCTCATAGTTAATAACTTTCAGTCGTGTATGTATGAATTTAAACCGATATTACCTTTAATAGTGTAAGCCCGTATAATCTGTATGGTATTAATATTGTAATATAAACTTCCAGTTTATCAAGCCACTTAGTCAGAACCAATATGTATGTTATCCCTATTGATTTTTGTTATTCAAAAGTAGTGAAATATTGGCGAATGTGACGTATTTTGTGAATGTAAAGAGTCGTGTTACTGTACATAGAAACTTAAAAAAAAGATACGTAAGGACTTAAAGAAAATCTTCAGAACTCTTAGTGAAATTTCATTATCAGCGTACTTATTGCGAATCTATCTAAGCTTTAAATATTCGACAGAGAAAAAAGGTAATTAAGTGAAGAAAGTTTTCTTTTTTGATGATACCATTTAATAAAGCTGTATGATTGCCTTTCTAGTAACTTGATAAATATCTGGGTTTATAGAAGGATTAAAAGCGATTACATCATAATGTTTAGAGAAAAATGATATCCTTGGAAAGATGATTCTTTTTACTAATTTATCTTTATTTTTTATTGAATAACAATTGATTTCTTTAAATATTCGTCAAATTTTAGTCGACATAAATAGTTGTGTTCATACGGTAATAAGTTATATAAAACAAATTCTAAAAGGGTGTTTATAAGTTTTAAGACTCCTTATGTTCGGATTGATGATGAACATGATACAATAAACAAATATACTTTTCTAAAAACTGAAGAGCATTTAATATGGGTTGTGAGTTTGACATAGTATTCTGTGTGATTAACATCTGGTTGAGTAGTTCTAGATCCTGGTATTTTTGGCTGAAGGTAATCTTATGTAGCGTTTTCAGTATCTAAGACGTATGTTACATAAAAGATAATCCATTATATTCATATACTGTTCACCTTAATAGTTTCAAATAAATTGAACATTGGGTAGAGAGTGGATAATAAATATCTTTTTGTTATATCCCAATCAGTAGAAAATTGAGCGTGTGTTAATTCGGTTATTTATTTACTCTGAGGAGGTGGCTTACATTAGGTCACAAAACGTCAGAAATCCAATTTTCTACTGATTAGGATACAACAAGAAATATTTATTATATGCTGTTTACACACATTAGTCTCTCATTTAACTGCAAATAGGTGATATGTCAGTGTTTGTAAATCCAAATAAGATTGTAGCAGCATACGCTTACACGATTTATCCTTAATTTTAGACAAGTGGATTTTAATTTTTCTCGGGATTTTACCATTTATGTACGACTTTGAGCATGTATGCATTATAATACGTATATGTCTATATGTTTACTCGAATCTGTAATGAATTTGGATGTTGAGTTACGTCTTAACTAGAGTAGGTCGAGAAGCCTGTCCCCATGCTGCACCTATTACTATCTGTTTATGTACATGAATTCCTCAAACAAACTCTTCCGACTCAGTATTTGGCTTTTATTACCACCATTAACCAACGGGGTTAACTTCATTATTATATAGGGAATTAAATGGAAGATTTATATTTCTTGGTTTATTCACCGCCATTCTTAATGGAGTCAAATTACGGGCACACATAAACATTTGTACAAAGGGTCACCAAAATGTATGTAAAATTGTTATTTACCGTTTATTTTGAAGAGATGCTCATATAACTACATACATCTCACTGTGCTTTTGCTGTAAACTGATTGTTCAAACATAAAAGTACAGTAAAAACGCGAACTGATATACCGTACTTGTTCGTTATTCGATGCTCATGGTGTTTAACATAAATTTATTACAGAAGAACAGTGAATTACGCTTTCTGTCTGGGGTTTTCATAGACGGTTGGGTAGCGTGCGACGTTGGTAAATGTCCTTTGCACCAAGTAAATATGTTTGTACAAAGGCAGTCAATATCCTCTCGTTTTCGACTTATAGTTTGATCACTACTTTTGGTCACCATCCTTAAGCACCACCAAGCCTAGTTCCTTGCAATTTCTGTTTGTCCCCAAAAAGTAAATTGATACTTCCGATCAACTAACTCATTCTAAATATACTTACTCCCGTTACCCTTCGTGGAGGAGCATAAGCCGCCCGCCAGCATTCTCCATCTAACTCTGCCCTGAGCAATTCTTTCTAGTTGCTATTCATTCTTTTGATGTCTGTTCCCGATTCCCAGCGCAGTGTGTTCTTTGGCCTTCTTTTCTGTTCCCCTTCAGGATTTCAAGTTAGCGCTTACCTGGTGATGCAGTTTGATGATTCCCACAACGTATGTTCTATCCACTTTCAACGTTTTTTCCAAATTTCCTCTTCATCTGGAAGCATTTGGCTCCTATTCCGAGCCATGTCCTGTAACGTCTCAAGCCACTGAATCACACTACCTCTAGGATCTCCCAAACTAAGGAGTCTTGATGGGCCGACAGATGACAGTCCTGGACACCTTTAATCCATACCATTACACTATGCCATAAACTGGTCACCTCTTCGCTCCCTCCACTGCGTCGCGGCGTCGAAAAATAGTGTCCGGCGTGGAGGTCACTAGAATAACGTTCGTAAGATATTCCCAAGTCATAAAGTCCGGTGTTCAAAGGTGATTACACCAACTAAGTTGTCGTCACTATACCCGACAGTTCACTCCCAAACCTAAGAATTACTAACGTAGTGTTGTCTCTTGATGTCGGGAATTCTTCGGATACAACGATGATCGAACATAAAGATCGCCGGGCATCTCAACTCAGGTTTCATAAACATGTTGTAGGACTGTTCTCACAGACTTGTAGACCTGAATTAGTACAACCAGACTAGCGTATCTACGGCGTCAAAGATGGAAGTAACTTCGTGGTTAGGTCAATCGACTGTCAACCACTAGGTTGCAGGTTCGAATCCCGCCCCACCTATTTTGGTTTGAGCGGCCGGATTGTATCATTATCCCTCGCATGTAAAAGGTGTCTCAAGGTAGAGGACCGGGTTAAATCGTGATTTTTTGACTCTACGAAAAGATTGCACTCATCCCATAAATAAATCCCAAACTGTTTTTTAAAGTAAGTTTGCTACTAATATTGTTATTTCTATTCTATCTTGCCTTCGTTTATGTAGTTTTTAAATATTATTATCTTTCCCATCTACATTAGTTGATAAATTTAAAAATATGGTAATGATTATATATGTTGAACTTAATTTGATTATTAGCTTTGATTTGTTTTCTTTCTTTAGTGATACACCTCCATCGAAGACTTCACGGTTAACTTTACTGTATAATTATGAATTACGTGACCTGATCAAATTTTCTTTATTGTGTATATGTACTGTTATTTTAACAAAATATGACAGTTCCATGGCTTATCATGAAATAAGAACACAATCGGTGATAAAAATTTATATTTTTTTCAATTTACTCGAGGTGAGCGTATTCTGTATATATTTTGAAATTTAATTTTAATTTCAATGTTATATTTTCATTCATAGTATTAGGAGAAGATTAAATTTTCATCTTGATTAGTGTGGCTTTATGCGAAACATTTGTTATGTTCTGTAGTCGTCTGACCTCGTTATTTATATTATAGTCTTCCTATACACGAACCCAATTAATTACGTGGGTGAAAAAACCAAGTGATTAAAAAGCTTTTATTACCTAAACCGGGTCGGAAATATATGCACAACTCATTCACAAATATAGATAAATTTCCCCCAGAAAATTAGTCCATATTTTCAGCTAATAGTGCTTGTCTTTTTCTTCAGAAAGTTCTGCTGAATCTTGACAAACAGAGTCCACCCTTTAGCATATCTCACTTCTCTATCTAATTGGGTTAGTGTATCATCGTTTCTACCTGAGAAACCAGTTGCAAATCATACATGTCAGAAATGATTATCGACTAGATGTGTACTTTTATTTTTTACTCCCCTAACCTATCGCTAACACTAATAGATTCGGATTCGAAAAGCTCGCTTGGCTTTTGCCAACTTACGCCACCTATGGCGAAGTCGAGATATCCGTCTATCAATAAAAGGACGAGTATACTGCGCGACAGTTCGTTCTGTTCTACTTTAGACTCAGGGTATTAGGGAATGATGGTAAATCAGTTGATGAGGTTGTGAATATTCATCGACTGAGATGGTTCGGCCACGTGTTACGTATGCCTGAGCACCGATTACCGCGACGTGCAATGCTAACCGGTGTCGGGGATGGTTGGAAGAAAGTTATGGGCGGCCAAACCAAAACGTGACATCAGTACTTGAAGTCACTAACTTGTAGTCTGAGCCATGTTGGTAGATGCAGACTACTTGGTTGGGGTCCGCTTGACTGTCGTAACCAATGGTTGGAGACTCTTGGTGACATGGCTCAGAATCGATCACAATGGCGTCGGTGTATACACTGTCTGTCTTCCCTTAAACTAAGAGATTAAAATCGCTTCATATCTTCCATTCTACGAACTAATTCTTTCTTCGTGTACTATTTCCTTATTGCAATCTTTCTTTCATATATTACCGTCACTGAATGAACTACTTTTATGAATCCGGTGTCCATCTTGTTGTGTTAATGAGGTATGGTAAATTGGACCGATGCATATATGTGCCTGGTCCTACGTTGTAGCTGACTGACTAATAGAATCGCAGTATTATCCAAATTGTGTTGGATCAGGTTAGAAGATTGTTTCAGCTGCTTCTGTACAGTTATTCACCCAACTTATCAGGTACACAAATCTATACCTTAATAAAGATGAGTTTGATATTTTTTGGTTTGACAGAGTTCACAAAACGTTTATCCTACTTTTAAGAAGCTGATCGTGTTATAGATTTGACATTTACAATATTCAAAATCACGGTCACAAAGGTTACTGACAAGCTTATTGAGATGGCTTAGGATCAGATAATGTGACATTAAAAAAAATCTTATAATGGTTAATTAATTAATTTAGGGAATAGTCAACATTTATACAGGCTTATTATTTTTGTAGTTATTCACAGGATTTCATCTTGTTTTAGGTCGCAGATCGTTTATTATCTGCTGTTTGTCAAGATGCCTTGGATGATTTACTATTTACGATCAGTAAACCACGATCTGATTCAGTTTTATCTAATGATCTAGAGGAAAATAGTTTCATTTTCTGGCGTGATATTGTTTTACAGTACTGCTTTGCCTTCTTTTGTCTCAGTAAGTCAGTGCAAATGCTTATTATATGTATTCAATTTTTACTGTATGGTTTTTACTACATGCTCTTGGTGTATGTCTTAAAATAGTGAATTAAATGAACCACTGAAAAGAGAATAAGACATCTACAGTGTGAATCAGATAATGGCATTTCGAATATGTTCGTTGTAAGTAAAAGTAACTTTATGACAAGTCAATCAAATTGTTTTGTTACAAATAGACTCTACTAGGACGAGATACACTCACCAATTGTCTCTCTCCTGATTTATTTGACTTTTACAGATCAACAGACCTTTCACTAATATGTTGGAGCTTGTGGATTGTGTTAGGACAGGATTAATGTTAAATAATCGGTTTTTCTCTTCATTTAAGAAAATCACAAATTAAGAAATTGCAACCATGTAGTCCTTAACTAGTTAATGTTATTCTGTGATAATAATCATTTACAGTACGTTGCACTGAACAGTCTTCAGTCCTTTTCGACTTTTTTATGTCACTTTAACTGTGGTAATTAGATTGTCCGACTTCCGGATGTAATGAAATTTTGTTTATTTAGAAACTGTCTACAACGAGTAGTTGGTCCAGTAGTAATTAGTGGGATATGTAACAATCAGTAGTTGTACAGCGTCATTTATGGCATAGGCGAGATATCTGTCTATCAACCAAAGGACGTGTTTACTGCGCAGTAGTTCATTCCATCCTACCTTACGGCAGTGAAACATAGCCGGTATGAGTAGAGGATATTCGTAGGTTACTAGTATTTGATCATAGGTGTTTTCGAAACATTGCTCGTATATCCTGGGTCTATCGAGTAAGCAACGCAGTTGTTAGGAAATGGGTACTAGGTAAGGATGGCAAATCAATTGATGAAGTAGTAAAACTTCATTAGTTCAGATGACTGGGACACGTGTTACGTATGCCCAACCACCGACTGCCTCGATGTGCGATGCTTTATGGTGTAGGAGTAGGTTGGAAGAAAGCTAGGGGCGGCTATACTAAAACACGGCACACGTCCATGAAGTCACTGACAAGTGGACTGAGTCATATTGGTAGGTGTAGACTACCTGGTTGGGGACCACGAGATGATAGCAACCGATGGTTAGAGACCTTGAATGACATGGCTCAAAATCGTTTGTAATGGCGCAGGTGCATCCACTCTTTGTGTTCTCTCAAATTCTAATCTTCTGAATTCTTCATGTCTTTTATTTTCTTTCCAATTTTTTTCCACTGGTTTATACTCTCTAAATAACATCTGTAAACCCTAATCTTCCCGATTACAGCTTACACTCTCACTACATCTACCACTACGGAATTTGAGTCGACAACTGCATCTCTGTGCTAATGTGGTATGGCAACTCGAACTGATGTACGTACGTACGAAGTTCTACGTTGTTACTGACTGACTAACTGACTGACAGCGTAAGTAGTACTCTGGAATAAGATTAACACGTGATAGCTAGGCTACACTAATAAACGGTAACTACAGGCAGTAGTAGTAGCACTCGGAAGTCAAAATATGACAGGTAATCTCGCTGTCTGTAACATTACACTCTTGCTCAGTCTTCGATGTGGAATATAGCGAATTGATGAGTTTGGTTCAGGTAAATGGCAGATAATGTATATGTTCTAACTATCATTGTTGAAGACCAAACCCTTAGCAGACCTGGCCGACGTAAATCACCTTATTTGCAAGAGAAATGTCACCTCCATTTTTCCTAGTGGTTATGAGAGTAAGTTGGTATATTGGTCAAATGAAATTACGTCAGGTTAATCCTCCATAATTTAACTGTGGTTGAATAAAATTGTGCTACATAACAGAAGTTTGGAGCAGCCCAGTCAGAAATATCATGAGTATTCTTTATTAATTTTTTGTAAACCTTACTTATTCTGGCGGTGCTTATACTATTGGTGTTGTTATTTTATTGTTCGCTATCAGGTCGGATATTTGGTTTTAGGATAATAAAAACCGTTAAAGTCATACTTATGGTTTGTCTGGCGTCTTCACTCGAGGCTAGGCTTTACTCACTCTTATGAACTCCAATCAAGTTAGTTCAGTCACAACCTCCAACGTGTAATTAGTTTGTCAGTTTTTGAACGTATTATTTCAAAGTTCTGTCAAACAACACGGTTCTATTCAGTCATAGTTTATACATAGTTATGTAACTGTTCAACTCATCAATTCTTGTGTTCTTTTTGAAGAAAACAGTTTCGCTAATCTTATGATGTTTCCTTCTGATTGTTCCAGTTATTCGTTCCGTATTCTTTTACATTGTTTCATTGTTTTCTTACCATCGAAATTACAGTAGCCCACTGCTTCCTTCTACTATGTCAAGTTACTACTTTAAATGTAGCATTCAATTCACAAAATAAATCACTGATCACTGTGTTTATTTCGAACAATGTGAGTTCCCAATATATTTTGCTGTTCTATTCTATTTAGATCATAGTTAAAATGGAAGGCTTATATATATATATATCAGGCTTTACTCTAATATACAGTAATATTTATATGCATATATGAAATTATTAAACCAATCAAGGTAGTTTATAAGTCAACGATAACAATGAAAACGATTACATAATAAGTGAAACGTGAAAAGTACAAATTGATGGTGTGACAACAGGTGCATTAGTTTTGATAAGAATAATAAAGGTTCAAACCAATGTTACATAATCGGAAATAGGTCAATGATTAGAAAAATATAGAAACTGAGATAACAATTATAAAATTATAAGATGACGTAATAAGAAATATTCAGATAATTGGACCATGAAACGTATAGTTGAGAGAAAATAAAGTGGTAGGAGGGGGTGATGAAAAATAATAAACGAAGAGAAAGTTAGAAAAAGAATAAATAAATTCATTTATTACTTAAGGCCAAGGGAGAGATAAGGGTGTTACAAATTTCTTCTGAACACAAAAACTTGGCTTGTTGGCTCGGATTCCTATAGCTTCTGCTATGTGTAAGAGACGAGATCGAACACCATAAGGAAAACTAGTGGGAATACGATAAATAACTTTGAACGACTTGTTTCTGTCCACTATATGACCGCTATCGATCAAGTGTGATAGAAAGGGTTACGGCAAAACAATACGCAGCTCGGTTCTATCACACTTTCTTAGGAGTGAGGCTATTATCATTAATATAATTAGATAATCATTTTAAGATTGATTTAATGTGGGTTTTTATGCCAAAACTTTTGAGTGGTTCTAAGGTGAATTAACTGTTTAGTGCTTCTTTTTTATAATTCTTCAGTTTACATTGATTGGTGACAAACAGTTATCTTCAAGCTAATTGATGCTTTTTTCAGATGAGAGGTTTGCTGAGATTGTCCATTTCAAAGTAGTATCCGTCACAGTCTAAGTTCATCTGGAGAAACAATGGAAACTAGAGAACAGTGAACAACTTTTTTTTATCGCTGTTTGAAAGTCCTCAAAAGATCGAAAACATGATATCCAGAACTCTATTGAGTACAGCACCTTTGAACCACTGAGCGAGTAACCAACGATCCACATTTATTTTTATAGAAGAAATTATGCATGAGATACTTTCCAGAGGGACTACAATATTGATTGACTTAGTTAAATAAAAAAGTACTGGGAAAGTTTTACTGAATTACCGGTTGTCTGTTTGTTCATTTTACTGTTGACCTTACTTATTTTGTTGTGGGAAAGAGATTAGTACTAAGAGATGATTAGGTGAAAGAATCCTTAACATATAAATCTTGACTCTCTTCAGTTTTAAAGGTTTGTGGCTATGATTGTATTTAATAACTAACTCTTGTTGGTTTTCCTTTTATTTCGCATCAACCCCCTTTATAATATATAAATTTTGATGCTTTTTATTTGAATAGTTTGTTGAATTAAAAGGTAATGTATTTCGTAAAATGGGAAAAACAAATTTATTTCAAATTGCTTGTGCTGATGTGCGTGAACGATTTCACTATTGTGTTTGGTTTTCAATTATTGTATGCCGTAATATGAATGAAAGTGGATGGAATTTAGGTAAAAAATAAACCATATGATTAGTATTATTTATGTGTTATATTTTTTTCAAGTTCATTTGTAAAGCAGATGATAATTGTACTTTAATTCCATGATTCAGTTATTCGAACACGACAATTGGTAAATTATGTAATATATCTAGGTCTTAACTATATTATGTCACCATGGACTATTTTTATGACTTTAATACACTACATAATGTAATGTTATCAGTCTGAAGTGTAAATCGGCAAGAGAGCAGAGTGTATAGTGTTTTCGATAGTGTACTAGATTTTCAGAGAATGAAATGGTTCATTCTTTTCGAGTAGCTGAGATCAATGTTGTGTCACTTAGTTTATTGCATAAACACACTAAATTCGATCGTAAAGACTTCATTTTATCGAATTTATTATACACTAAGCTTATCCCCTTTAGTGTATAACCCATTTAGGCGGTGCATTTTTCCCGTTTCTGTTGTTTAAAAATTGTTGGAAGTTCTGAGAAGTTTGAGTTTTCAGCTGCTTCCTTTTATCTAAACTCCAGACGATTCTTCTAAATTCATGTTTTCAGAATTCACATTTGGGAAGAACTAATAATTTCACATAAATCCAGTGTTTTCATCGACATATATCCAGGTTTTGCGATCTCGACGGCACCCACTAAAACGTTTGACCCCTATGAATTATTTTCAGTGTTTCATATCGGAAAATAGCCTTCAACATATCATGAGTTTCTTGTTAGTTCGGTTAGTACATTTATTGACCACAGTACTAGTATGCTAACATTAAAGATCTCCGAAAACACTTTTTACTATACTGTTGTCTCAGCAGAAAAAAGCCTATGCTTATTCACTAATTTCTATTTGTGTTCAGTTTTCACCATTGCAATTGAAAAAGAAAAACAATTTCGTGAAGTAATTACATGGTGTTGTATATCAGTTCTTTTATTCAGTGTCCAATTAGTTAATAATTGATTATACTAAACCTCAACATACACTCATACATAGAAAAGATACTCTTGCACATTATCTGTCAGTCAATCAGTCGGTCAGCTACAACGTAGAACCAGGCACATATATGCATCGGTCCAAGTTGCCACACCTCATTAACACAACAAGATGAGTACCAAATTCGTAGAAATATTACTTCAATGGCAGTAATATTTTTAAAAAAAGATTCCGTATAAGAATGTGTTACAGGGAAAAATAATTAGTTCGTAGAAAGAAAGATATAAAGCAATTTTAATCTCACGGTTTTAGAGAAGACAAAGGGCGTATACACCTACGCTATTATAATGGATTCTGAGATATGTCACTCAGCATGTCTTCAACCATTGGTTACGATAGTCAAACGGATCCCAACAATGTAGTCTACATCTACCAACATGGCTCAGACCAATAATTAGTGATTTATGGTCTGATGCCACATTATTCTGAGATAAACAGAAAGCATAAAATGTTAGTGTTAATTATAAAATTAGTTCTCCTTATCGTTTATTATTATTATTATTATTATTATTATTATTATTATTATTATTATTATTATTATTATTATTATTATTATTATTTATACAGTGATTATTTCGTTGTATGAATTACATAGTTTGATTAATGACTTTCTATTGTTTGCTGATGAGAGTATTTGTTTTGTTTGTTTTTTTCTTTCTCTTAAATAATCGATTTTATTTCAAGGGTGTTTATTAAATTAGCTATTTACATATAGTTATGATGATATTTTCAATTTATTGATTTCAATAAGTAGACAAATTTACTAATATCATGTTGTTAATGATTATAAACTGATTAGAAAAAAAAGATTGATTGATGAACTCATTTAGTGATTAAATGTAGTATAAAACTATCTGAAGTAAATAAATAAATATTTCTTGGAATTGATGAATATAAATATTTTTTTCTTAATAAGTTAATAATTATCATTATGTTGAATGATGTTTATTTCCTAGGGTATAGTTTCGAATTAAATTGTATCTATTTCACATAATTGCATACATATAATTCATAGAATAGTAGATTGGATAGAGATATGAATCAATGAAATAGACATTTAGCTCACAATTGTAAAGTTGTCTATTGGAATGTACTATATATTATTCAGTTTAGAAACATCAGATTTATTGATAATTAAATAAACCTTATGTTGGGGATGTTAGATCCCCGGAACTGACTTGGTATATGGCTTAATTTTATAATTTTATTTTGGAAATTTAAATTTCCTTGTTTTCGCGCCAAGAGTGCACTTTTCACGTTCATGTCGTACTTCCCACTTGGGAGAATTTTTAACGCTATTAGTCCGTTGTGTATTTTTAGTATGCTATTTTTGCTTCGCTTCCCAAGGACAGTTTTATGCTGTATATATACGTTTGATTTGTGTCTGTTATTATTCACTCATGCTTCTGGCTTACGGAATATACTTTCCCGTTCCAAGCTTGGACTTCTTCCTCTAGTTAGCGGGACTGGGACGCATCAAAGAGCTAGCTTATTGGTCTATGGTCACAAGTCTTTGTTCCGTTCGCATACTAAGTGAACTCGTAGTAGCTTCAAAGCTGGCACCGTAATTATCAATATCATTTTAATCATGGGGCCTACTGCTATAGTAGGATTTATGGCCTCGTGTATCCTGGTTATCTAACATAAAATAAACCTTTCGTTTTCTGAGCTGGATTGTTCAACCGTAGAGCTTTCATTGTTTTTCTTAACGACATCATCAGCACAGAATTCAGGTAGAAGTAAGATATTCTAATTACTACACAAGTAACTGAGAGTTTGGCCTGTCGATCTTGATTGACTACTGTTGACCTTATGCCTATCGTTGTGGACATATTTACTTCGATTGTCTCCCCTTCCGACCTGATTATTGATCCTATATTTTTCTATGATCTCCGTAATTGGTTAATAAATTGGGTCGACTTTATGACTCATCAAAATCATGAAGCGATCAGCACTGTACGCCCATCCCGTCCCTGCATGGAACCCCCCAGAAATGTACATCCACGACCCCGAATGCGGGGACCGAACCCAGGGCTTCCGGTCTCGCGCTCTGAATACTTACCTATGGACCACTGAGTTGGCGTCTAACGATGTTCAACCGATCATCATATTACATAATCATCTCCCATTGTCTTCGTTGGGTAACTTCCCCACACACGACACAGGTAAAGTCCATCAGTCACTGATTCTCATCACTTGCTTTTCTAAAAAAAGTGATGAATATACTCAGAATTTTTTTCTAATTTAGTCAAGGTTCTTGTTGAATTCAGCTTAGATTATTGTTTCACTCACCTGTTGTACTTCACGTAATCTAATTGATATATCGATGAAATATTCGTTCGCGTCAACCTGGAATTTGCTTTTTTCTGTCTCAAATACAATTCAATCTTGTTCTAGTGACGGGGTCTTTTGTAGTACAGATACATACAATTAAGCTATTATTATTATTATTATTATTATTATTATTATTATTATTATTATTATTATTATTATTATTATTATTATTATTATTATTATTATGTTGGACTAGTTCATATTTTCAAATTGTAGTGGATGAATTGTTTTTATTAATACACTGAGTAAGAATTTATTCTATTCCATTTTTTCTAAATAGATGATCTTCAAACAATTCTTATTGATGTAACCTATATTCTTCTAGCAGAAGTTGCTGTGGATTGGATAAAGCATTCGTTCATTACCAAATTTAATGTGATCCCTTCAAATGTGAGTTTCATTCTTTTAAATATTTTATCATAACGAAATTAGGTGAATTTTCAGATGCAATATGCTAGTTAATTAATAAAATCAGCTTAACTATACGGTATACTTAATGTAAGATAATTTTGATTTATTTTCCGATTGGTATGGTGATTATACTTATGACTTCGGAAACAAAGCAGTGACATTTCTACATAATTTGCTTTGGTTCATTTAAACTGTGTAGCCAGTTCATTTGTCCATTCTATTATAACTCAACTTCATTCGATTCGTAAAGAAATGACTTCACCTGTTCATATGATAAAGTGCAGTTAGTTAGATACCGACCATATTCTCACAATAGTTCCGAATAATATCTGTTATCTGAATTGAAACCAAAGCTAGTTTTGCAGTTGGTGCTCTTAATTGAGTCGGTAGAGGAACAAACAGCATCTCCCAAACCCAGTTATTTAATAACTCGGATTTTTTTTCAACTCTAGTCACCCTGTACGCTAAATCCGGTTTGTCTACTGAAGGTCTCCAAAATGTGATTACATCGAACTGAGTCCCAAATAGGACCAAATGCGCATCCTGAATTCCACTCTTAGTCACCATCCATCTCAGTTTAAATTGGCACGCAATGTTGGAAAACCGTTTATTTTAATTGGGTCAAATGTTATGTATTTTCATCAGCTTTCCTTAGGAAGCAAACTCCGATACATTTCTAGACTTTCGATTTTACTCTTATGAAATTCGTCATCATACCAACTGGGAATTATATTAAGCTTCTCTTGAAACAAATGTATTAGTTATCAGTTGTTAATTGTCAATGTTATTATCGTTTTTATGATAGGTCTATGAGGAGTATACTGTGAGCATTGCATACGACCTATTATTATGCCATCAGGGGAAGGTTAGTAACGATTTTCTTCTCATGAAACTTAAACATTTTTTAGATTGTACTGATAACATGTCTGAATATTTTGAGCTGTTTGAAAATGCTGTGAACGTGTTTTTCCTCTCAATGGTAAATCATGCTCACGAAGTTTATTTGGCAAGCTGACACTTTTCAAGAATGATAGACCTATAATGCTCAACTGATTGTGTTTTTAATGACTGAATGAATATCAAAGGTATTCTTGTTATAACCAGCTAATGCTCATATGTCGTATCTAGGTTAGTTTTTAAAACTGAGACTCATTAATTTCTCGCCATTGGAAACCCACTATTCCAGTGGGTAACGATTTGGAATAATCGATTTAGAAGATTGTTCACGACCATTTGTATACCATGTGTTAGTAAACCACTTCATAAAAACGTTTGAACTAACCTGTCTAGTTTACTGACGAATTTGTCAGTTTTAATATTCATAATGAAATCCACACCGGTTAAATGGTAACTAGTAAGTTAACAAGTCTATAAATCGAGTTATCCGTACTAGATAAAAAGGCCAGATTAATCCATGACGCTACAATCGTTCATCGACTGTGATTGTGCATGTCTAGTCATCATCTACCTTGATGTGAATTACTGACCGGAGAAATATAAAGCTGGGTGTCTCATGAAACATGGCAACAGTTGTAAAGTCATTGAACTCTGGTTTGAGCCATGATGGTAGTTAGAAATATCCTGATTGAGGGTGGTAAGATCATCTGAATCAGTGAATAAAACGCACTGAGTGACTTTGATTGCAGCGACACAAATACATTCACTTTCTGTTTTCCCATAAATTTTGGTCTGTGGTGTGATAACTTTTGAACATTGGCGTTAAGTCTTACTATTTCAGCTTATGGATGTCGTCGATATTGTGGTGTCCGTCCAACTACCTCATATAGCAAAATTGGTCAGTTTTGCCCTAAATATCTACAACAGGAAGATGCTAACCTCCAGCTTAGTTTCTGATTCGCGTGGGAGATTAAGTGGAAAACGTAAATAACGGAAGCTCTATGGTTTAAGCGTATATATTCCAGGACTTTATTTGGCACATTCCTGATTTATGCATAGCTAGATATTCTTTATTTTATTACTGAAACGATGTTTTGATTTTTTTTTATATATCATCATTTATTTTTTAGAATACATCAGATTACTCTGACCTTCTCTCACGTCGTATGGGTCTTACTCCGATCCCCCTTAGTTGTTTAATTAATGCTATGCTTTTTCAAACAATAAGGAATCCCAGCACTCTTTGCCTTACTTTACCGTTTGTTGTGTCTGTGTAAGTTATTGCTTTGAAATTTTCAGGAATAGGCGTTTTTCAAATGCTAGAGAAAAAAGATGCTTAATATTAAAGGCTATTGATGCCATTTTCTTTCTAACATTTCTTTTATGATTAGCTATATACATTTTTGTATTATTCCGTAGTGTTTACAACATATAGTTCCCTTTAGTAACTTGAAGAGAGCAATAACAAAGATTTTAGTAGAATAACACGAATTCATTCTCGTCGATTGTTTACGACCTATGATGTCTAAAAATCAAAACTGCAAAATGAGATGAAGATACATCAAAGAATTTGATTGAAAGTTATTATGGACACATATAAGCAAAAATGCGAATTAATAAAATGTTACAAACGTATTTCTTATTCAGAACATTAGAAGTCAAGAAAAAGGTATACAAAGAAATGGTTACACAATAAAACAAATGTTAGTGATAAATAAGAAATACTTTAACTTATCAATAAAAAGACACTGCCTTATCTTCTCTGTAGTATAAATTTCATGTTTTTGTTTAGTTGACTATCTGTTTAGTACATGATAAATGAAAGGTATTATTTATTCCAATTTGTCTTCGAACCAGTCAGTCAGTCAGTCTTCGAACCAATAATTGCAAGTTCTCAATCTAATGACAGACCTTTAAAATAAGTAGACATATGCTCATGCGAATAATATGTTCATGATATTTTTCGTTGTATAATGCGTTTTTTGGAAAGAAGAACACCTCGTCAAGATTCCAAAGAAAGGAGATCTGAGCAAATGTGAAAACTACAGAGGCATAACACTACTGTCAATACCAGGGAAAGTCTTCAACAGAGTGTTGCTGAACCGGATGAAGGATGCAGTAGACGCCCAACTTCGAGATCAACAAGCTGGATTCCGTAAGGATCGGTCGTGCACAGACCAAATTGCAACACTACGGATCATCGTCGAACAATCAGTTGAGTGGAACTCATCATTATACATCAACTTCATTGATTATGAAAAGGCATTCGACAGTGTATATAGGAGGACATTATGGAAACTTCTTCGACACTACGGAGTTCCTGAGAAGATTGTCAATATTATCCGGAACTCATACGACGGACTACAGTGCAAAGTAGTGCATGGAGGACAGCTGACAGATGCATTCCAAGTAAGGACCGGAGTCAGACAAGGCTGTTTACTCTCTCCCTTCCTCTTTCTTCTGGTGGTCGACTGGATTATGAAGACCTCAACATCTGAAGGAAAACACGGAATACAATGGACAGCTCAGAATCAATTAGACGATTTGGACTTCGCAGATGACCTAGCCCTCCTATCACGTACACACGAACAGATGCAGATGAAGACAGCCAGTGTAGCAGCAGTCTCTGCATCAGTAGGCCTCAGCATAAACAAAGGGAAAACTAAGGTCCTCAAATTCAAAGCGGAGAACAGCAATCCAATCACACTTGATGGCGAAACTCTGGAAGATGTAGAGTCCTTCACATACCTGGGAAGCATCATCGATGAACAAGGAGGATCCGATGCAGACGTAAAGGCGAGGATCGGCAAAGCAAAGGTCGCATTCCTACAATTGAAGAACATATGGAACTTAAAACAACTTTCAACCAATATCAAAGTGAGAATCTTCAATACGAACGTCAAGACAGTCAGTTCTACTGTACAGAGCTGAAACTTGGAGAACTACAACAACCACAATCAAGAAAGTACAAGTATTTATAAATAGCTGTCTACGCAAGATACTCAACATCCATTGGCCGGATACCATCAGCAACAGCCTTCTGTGGGAGAGAACAAACCAACTTCCATCTGAAGAAGAAATTAGGAAAAGACGATGGAAATGGATAGGACATACATTACGCAAATCGTCAAACTGCATCACGAGGCAAGCCCTAACTTGGAATCCTGAAGGGGAGCGAAAAAGAGGAAGGCCAAAGAACACATTGCGTCGGATAATAGAAGCAGATATGAAAACGATGAATTACAACTGGACGGAGCTAGAAAGGATTGCCCAGGACAGGGTTGGATGGAGAATGCTGGTGAGCGGCCTATGCTCCTTCACGAGGAGTAACAGGCGTAAGTAAGAGTAAGTAATGCGTTTTTTGTCGTGTTACAACTACAACTCTACGAAAGGGGCCTATAAAGTTTCTATTTGTCCACATCATAATGTTGATATATATAATCTCACTAGAAGTGTGCAAAACACGAAGCTTTTTAGAAGATAATTGGGTAACGATCCTACACGACCACTCATTTGTTAGTTTTGTTATGATACCGCTATACTGATTATGCTCAGATCACGGTTACGTTTCCGAATAACGAAACAGTCAAATTGTTAGTTATATTCATAAATTATCGTCGGTAAAAAGTGATTCGGAAAAACAAGTTTAGATGATAGTGAGTTTAGTGAAGCTGAGTTCTCTGAACTGGATGGTTTAAATGAATAAACCATTCACTTTAAAAGACAACTCCACTGAATCCATCCTCCTTAACCACAAATTTTCTTCAACGTGTCAAGATAATCAGTTTCCCGACCGTTGCTGCTACCTTGACGTATTGGTTGGGCTTGCCTATCGTGACGAACTAGTCGGGCTATACTGGCTGGAATAATCGTTTCTTAAGGTCCTACCATACCAAGAAGGTCGGTTAAAGAACTGTAAGTCTAAAAGCAGCAAACACAAGGTCCGAGGGCGAAGTTGTACAGGGGTGTGACGGCAGTAAGGTATTTCTTTCAGACAACCAGCATAACAGCGGTACTGCCTTCCCACAAAGGAAGGGTGCGGTTAGAGAAGATCGACCCTCAAAATACATGCATAGCCTTATCCCATAGATTTCCTTCTCCGGTGGTAAGGTCTCAACAAGTAGGGAGCTAACACAAAAAGATCGTGTGACCGTCCTCAAGCAGTTGTCCCATGGGCATTGTGGTCACGCTCTCAGGTCACAATAAGACTAACTCTGACTCTGCTTCCCAAGTACCTCTAGAAGAACCGCGAATTGATAACCTCTCTCATACTTCTAACAGAACTCAAGATTACCGCATTCAAATCAGTTTCACTGCAGTCGGACACTCCTAACACATTATTAAGCATTTCCTTCATATCAACGGAAGAAAGCGTAACTAGGGGATCCATCTCGTTTGAAGTGTGGGGGTCTGTGTAACTGTTTAGTCAACTTAATAAGTATTGGTTATCAATGATTTTAAATAGATACTTTATTTTTTTTAGACTATTTGCAGTTAAAGTTGCAACTAACCTTACCCTTATGTCCATGGCTTATTCTCATGTACGTGAGTACATAAATGCAGCAAGTACTGTTCGACAGGATGAAAATTGTTCTTTCGACAATGATAAAACTGGTGGTGTTTTCACAACTACAGTAAAAGGGAATATGAAACAGTCTCAACATATTCTTTCAGAAAAGGAAATTCGGATATCATCAAGAAAGCCTCCTTTTGGTTTCACAGGTTATGACCAACCGACTAAAGATGAAGATTGCTTTTTGCCGACGGGTCTTAGGTATCGGAAATTCAAAAGCGACTCAGGTCCCGTAGATATAACAGTTAATATGGACATAAATCACTCACTAACTCCTGAAGATACATCAGAACTCGCTGGAAATAAGCTTAGAGTGTTAAGTCCGATTTCCACGGGTAGCATTTGGAATGAATTGATTGAACCATATCAATCAATTATGGCCTCTGCGACCGGAACACCGAAGAGTCTATATGAACTTAGTGAATCAGCCCCATTAAGTAAGTGACTTCCCATTTGACTGCTAGTTAAGTTACATGAAAGTCGCACAATCTGCTCTTTTTCGACTAATGTGTCATCTTTCTATTTCATTTTAGCACCTCTTAGTCGAATAGGGTCAGCAAATCGGATATTCAATCCCGGGAATAATAAGTCAGAAATCGAGTGCGAACGTAATTTCCATGGTTCATGCGTGTTCCAGACTGAAGATAAACCTCAGTTTACTGCTTACACAAATACTCCAATTGCTACATTACATAATGAGGGACTACATGTACGCAACAGGTATGAGATGACTAGTATCTTAGAATTATATAGCAATAAAGACGAATCATTTACAACAATGGTACGGCCTCCTAGTGCTTGTGTTTTATTAAGACCAAGGTATTACAGTATCGATCTAGGTATTCTGAGTACTTTTTTAAATTCTATGGAACGCAATGTACGTGCTACAGATGAAACACCAATTAAAGATGGAAGTGCTCAGGAAAATGAATCAAAGCCTACCTATACTTTCAATCCTATACACAAACGCCGGATACGTACAATGACTGAAAGTTCAGGCACTGCCCCTTCACATCCTCCAAGGGACCCTACAATACCAATTCTATGGGAACGAAGCAGTAGAAATAGTACGGTTAACCAGTTCGGTTTGGATCGACTGAAACCAATAACACCTGGACGAGTAAAGCAGCCATTGTCTGATATTGATCGTTATTCAATGGTAGAAGGACAAATTAGTTGACTCAACTTGTGTAATTTAATGACTGTACATTTCTTGTATGTATATTCCAAAATAACAAAATGTTTTAATCGCAGTCTTTTAGAAACCCTAAATCTGATGTAACAACTAATATAAAATAGTGGAACATAGTGATTACGAAAAAAACTGGTTGGTAGTGCTAAATACATCCCATTCACTCACTCAAAAACTTAATAAAGCGAAGTTAAAGTATATTGTGTTCGATTTCACAACTTAACCAATCAAATATTCTTGACCTAAAAGCATACTTTTAGAATATACTGTTGAACAGAATGATATTTGTAATTAGAATGTGGTATAGAAGTACACATCTAAAGTTCTTAATATAAGTTAGTGTCATTTTAACCACTGAATTTACATTCATCACGGATACGTCTTCTCATTACAGTGAAACACTTTGAGGTTCAACTTTTTTGACTACTAAATACGATTTTTTCCTCTTCTTTAGTTCTCAGTTAATTTAAAGTTCGAATCCTAATCACACACTTAGAGGTACAGGACTAACATAAGAGAGGACCGAATTAATAAGGCAAAACATCTTTAACTGCAGCAAAACCGAAGAGTGTGTGAAATGAGTAGGTTTGGCGGAAAATGGGATTTCAGAGCCGGGGAAATGAAAAAAAGTAATCAATGCAAGTAGATTACATTACCCACCCCCGGTCGAGAAAGGCATTTAGCAGATAAATTTAAGGTCAAGTATGAAAGGGAGTAGTTTTTTCTGTCAAATACAAAACGTTGATGATTGTTCAGAAATATAGTTGAAGATGTTCAATAGTCAGTCATATGTAGAACTACGCGATATACATGAGTTACTAACAAAAACGACACTTGTTTCGCACTCCTGGACATTTGAAATGGTCATGAAAGTTTCGAATTTGTTCGGATAGTTCCCAGTTCATTAAAGTCATCAAGGAGCTCTCCAAATGGTAATTGATTTCCTGACGTTGATGTCTTTTCGTTTGTGCTTGACTATAGAAATACAAAATTTTTAAAATGAAAATGGGATTTTTAGTAGATTCTGATAAACTAATATATTACACAACACATGATGCTTCTTCCACCATCATATTCTCTTCGCTACTTATGATATGTACAGAAACTGCTGCTAGATAACGGTTTAAGGGATTGCAACATTGAACTGAATGCTAAAAGTGCATGAGCCTAGTGTTTGTTTCGCTATTTGTTTCGACTAATGGAAAGATAGTTCTACATCAGTGTATGTGACCGAGCAGCGTACCGGGAAGACGCTTATAGTACTAAACATGTGTTTAAAATGTAGAAACAAAACCCTAACTAATAAAAACATTTTCCATATCTGATTGCATTGCTAGAAGTGGGAACAAATTACTCTAACTATTGGGCTTGTTGCATATACAGCCTTTTATTCGTAGTTCTCGACTACAAACTATGTACAGAAGTAACAACGACAGGCTGAACTTACTTTATTCTTTCGGTTCGGGAACTCCGTCTCAAAAAATACTCTGCTTTGGTTACTTTCAGAATAATTAATCAAACAGAGGAAGTTTGTTAGTGATAGAATCAATACATCCATCCATGACTTTGTAAAATACATAAAAAACTCTGAATGCATTTTTGGATCCGCTGCGTAAGGCAAAGCTGTGTGTAAATTAATCAACGTAATAATAAAACATTACCACACCAACTTTGCCATTCCTCTTTTCCAAAGGAGAACTGCGAAGAAAGTAATTCGAAAAACTCAGTCATTTTAGCTTGACGTTTCTTTATTTTAGCCTGCACTAAGTATGTACGAAAAACATGCACTTTGAGCTCATTGGCAGCAAGTTGTTTATCACCCGATAACCGGTGAAATAGTGTATTTTCTAAGAAATTCCACTGATTGGTTAACTGAGATAAATTAGAATCGTAGATCGCTTCTTGAAGTTGATCGATAATATCCAATGGCTGAAACTGGATACGCCATTATTAACCAAAGCGAATTACTTTCCCTCTATTTTTTTCTTTCGAATACTCGATTTCGAATGCATTCAGTGTATCTTTGAAATTCTTCGACAATAAGTAGCGTCGAACAAAACGCTCACAAACACCATCTTGCATCCTTACTCTGCTAAAGGAACCAAGGTACTACATTAATGCAACTATTAACTTATTAATAAAATGAGATAAGTAGCAGATGAGAAAGTTACGAGTTACTAGTACTCCGAATATCTTTGATATTATAACCACATTAGGACGTTTGCCTACCTTTTCAATCCTAATGTGACAATATTCCTTGACTTCTGATTTGCGCATATCGCTTAATGAAATGACATCAGTAAATTAGACCATTCTAAGTGTACTTTCTGAAGAATAACTGAGCGGACTGTATCCTATTATTATTATTACACTGAAGCTAGATAACGGTATTATTAATCCTAGTGCATTTTACAAGTGTTCTGCAGAAAACCAACGCGACAGCAGTTTATTGTTGCTAAAGTGATTTGGAGTATGCCAATGATATTATATTGATGTGTGATTATACTCGAGACACAAAAATCGCAATTAATTTGGAATTGGTGTCCATAAGTATGTACTATGTACTTTCTAAATCCAACTAACAGGAACCCATGCCTGCTCTCACTTTTGGTGGTGAGACGTTAGCAGTCGGAAAGTTTGTTTGTCTAGGTAGCTGTGAGTGCAGGTGATACTGTTAGATGAAATCAATCTATGTGTAGTGGACAGAGCGGCTTTCGCCACTCGTGCTGTTAGTTTACCTACAAGAAATTGGGTCTACAACCCATTGGTGAGAGCAGTTCGACCCTGTTCTTGCGATATCCGACCTTTCGAACTTGAGGATGTTAGATGATTCATTGCTATTCCAGGAGGGTTGCTGATATTTAGCAACAACATCATGTTAATAATGAGGTGATTCCGAAATGCGTGTTCTGGCACACAGACGATCACCATGAGGAACCGGGTGCGGAGGCCTAGACACAAGTAGGAATGTCGTCACAGAGAATTTCACTCCGTCCGTTGCTTAACGCTACAACTGAGTGGAGAGGTGGCCACTCTATAATATGGTACCATGGTATGAAAGAATGTAGAGAACTGGGATCTATCTGTCAATCACAACTCCCTATTCAGTGTTCCAGAGATAGTGCAACTAAGTGGCCTGAGATATCAGACTACCTAGGACAGAAGACAATAGCGTTCTCGCTGTAGTTTTCTACTACATCCTTCGGCTGGAAAATGCTTTCGGGACTCTTGTACTACAAGTTACACTGGTCCACTTATTCATTTTGATTACACTCGGGCTCCATGCACGTCTTCACAATACTAGTTTTCTGTGGCGCATACTTATTTTAGAGCCCAGTTATATCGGTATTTATTTTAAATAGATAATTAAGATAGTAGGATGCATATGCGCTTCATAATCTAACCAAGGAAATACCATTTACATTGTAAAGATGAGATTTTTCTCCTGCTCAGCGATTTAGATGATTGCAGTCTACTCTACGTTATTTAACATACAAACTAACCAATTATCATTGACCAATACCAGTTGGTACGGGTTAGTCGATTAAAAAGGTATGGTGTTAGTTGAAAGCGGCATTCGAAGAAGTAACAGCTTCTATCCCATGGTCAACTTAATGTAAGCTATCCCAAGGGCCTCTAAAGAACCATGAGATATGAAAGATAGTAAAGCGTGAGACATATTTCTAGGACTTGATTTTCATGACCACTCATGAAGCATTGAAGCTTTAGTACCAAAAAGTCAGAAATGCACGTAAATTGACCATTATAAAGACTCACGTTGATTACTAAGTGAAGTAAGCTTATGATAAACACCTGTTCAAAATAACTTCGCTAGTGATGTTAGAACTCATACATATGGTTCCGATGACCTTGAGTCCCAATAAATTAGAAGGCTGAAATTGTTGGTCTGGAAATTATGTTTAGTGACAGTTGGATTGGTCACGCTCACCGTCGACGGCACTCCAACAGTGGAACACTACTTCCGTAAACAAGAAATCCGAAGATTGATAAGTAATTGTATACTAACAGTTTTGAATAGTACTGTGGGCATGAAGACCGTGTTAGCGGAGATTTTGAGCCGCTAGCTGAAAACAAAGATTTCTCCCTATCTTATGTTTTTAACATTTGACACGAAATAGTGGGTATGCCAAGTTGATATGCCAATTTAATCGCTTATGACGACCGAATAAGACGCGTAAAACATCCCCCTTAGTCTATGGAATAATGAGACTTTATTTCGGAGTTCCTTATAAAGAGAGGGGAGCTTAGTGTAAGCAGGCTCAATCTTTTTACAGCTTTTTGACACGACGTTGAGAAATGGGTTGGAAACTGGTTTCCAACCCACTCAACGACTAATGGTCGAATAAACCTAGAGCGCAACACCGTCTCTCATGGATGTTTATAGACCAGAACTACGACCCAGGAAAATGGTGCCAGCCACGTCGATGGACACTGAATAGATAAACACAGGTCAGTTGACCTAATACTCTTATTACTGAAGGGTCCGTAAATTTGAAAACATTTTAGTCTAACTAACTGGTGAGTGTGTCTGAAACCATAGGGATACAGACATACCTTAGGACGAAAACATCCTGTCTGGCGTCGATCACTAACACTGAACCGTAACGCGATATTCAAAAATATGCACAAATGTTTCTAATTGTTCTAGACGTAAAAGAATGGTTCAGATGGTTGTGGACGGAATAGAAGAAGCTTTCGCTTAACAAGCTTCCGTGTCTTGTAGCAGGGGATCATGAATAACTCCAGGCAGGAACCTAGGTATGTTAACGATAAAAGAGGAAAAAGAAATTGGTAAATCACAGTGTGATACTATCCTTATACCTTAAGAATAAATCAAAGTTATTATAGACAATCAAATTGGTTTCAGTAGATATTCAACACTATGACTCTAACTTTCGAAGACTGTTCGGAAGATGGAACCCTTTATTTAGGCAAGCCATGTCTCGGTAAGGAACTTTTTCATTGGT